GCCTTTTTTTTTTTTTCTTCTGTACCAGGGATCTAACTTGGGTTCTTGTGCTTGCCAAGCAGGCACTTATGCCCACGAGCTATCTCCCCGGCCCTGCAACTTGAAATTGAACACTGTGAAGACACCTATCCCCACCTCCCACCCCCAAAAATCCTGACATCTTATTTTCCAAAGGAGTTTTAAAAGTAGGTGTGATGGTGCAGGCCTGTAATCCCAGCACTGCAGAGGCTGAGGCAGGAGGATTTTTGTGAGTTCGAGGCCATCAAGGATTTTGCGTTCTGTGCACCAAGATGCTTAAGCTCAATCAATGGGCTGGGGAGATGGCTTAGTAGAATAAGCACTTCCCTGGCAAGCGTAAGGGTCTGAGTTCAATTCCTGGTTCTGCCAAAAAGAATTTTAAAAATTAAATAAAATAAAAGCTCAAAATGTACTGAGGTATTGTGCATACAAACAGCAGACCATGTCTTGGTCACTGCTGTCGGTCTTCCCAGGGGTGCATTTGAAGAGGGTAAGAAAGGGAGTTGAGCCCCACCCCACAGAGAGTCCAAGCAAGGATGATTCACACTGTGGTCTGTGGAGTGAGTGTGTTATACACGGGCCTGGAAAGCTGCACTTGGGAGAGCGCTGTGGGTGGATGCCCAAGGTGAATGGGGCCTGCTCTGTGGGGAGGGCTGTTTTTCCACTTTGGTTTTTTATGTATTTGGTTATTTCAGGGTCTCTGTAGCTTGGACTTACGGTGCTCCTCCTGCTTTCACAGCTGTGCGCCACCACAGACCTGCCCAGACTCTGGCTGACTCAGCAGGCTCCGGGCGGGCATGCTGGGATTGAACCACGGGTTCTTGTGCTTGCCTAAGCTCACCTAAGCAGGTGCTTTGGTCCCTTTAGCTATCTCACTGGCCCCTGTGGGGAAGATTTTGAAGCACTATTAAGTCTATATGAAAACAGATTGCATTCCAAGAGCCCACAGGATGAACTGGATCCTCAAAAATTATTTGTTTGAAAGGCCCAGTGAGATAGCTCACTGGACTAAGCACCTGCTTTGCCAAGCACAGGGAATAGGGTTTGATTCCCCCGTCCCGTGTGCCATGCCAGCTCTGTCCCTGGGGTACACTGAGCCTGTGACCAAGTCTGGGCATGGTGGCACATGCCTGTAATCCCAGCACTGGGAAGGTATGAAAGCAGGAGGATCCCTATGAATCTGAGCTGCGTATTGAGACCTTGTACCAAATACATAACTAGAAAAAAAAAAGTGTTTGGTTCTTTAAAACATAAAAAAGTTAAGCCAAGCATGGTGGTGCACACCTGTACTCCCAGCACTTGGAGGCTGAGGCAGGAGAGCTGCTGCAAGTTCCCAGCCTGGGCTACAAAGTGAGTTAAAGACTAATCTAAAAACTATATGAGAAAATTCTGTCTCAGAAAACAAACAAAGTTGTTTCTCACTTCAAAAACCGTACTCCTATTGTCTCAATTTCAGACTCCTTGTTTAACAGTCCTGTTTGACAACAGTTTCAGGATTCCCTTCCTTGTCGCCTGGGGTGGGAGGTGACTCCATTTAGCAAGGGACAGTGCAGCCTTGCCACAATCCTTTCACATGTGTCCACAGTCATTCAGGTTTCCTGGTTTGAACAGGAGGCTGAGCCGTGGCCCCATGGCTTATAGATACTGCACACTGCTGTTCCTGTTGTCCATTTTCCTTTTATCAGTCAAATCATATTAGGGCCCATTTCTGTTTCTGTTTATTCTATTCTCTGTCTCCATCCTAATTTTCATCATTTCCTTCTTTTTACTGGTTGTCGGTTTAGATTTATTTCCCTCTTGTAGCTAATCCAAGTTAGATGATTAATCTTAAACATTACCTTTTTAATGTAGTTGTTCACAGCTGAAAATGTCCCTCTGAATACTGCTTTAGGTCACTGCATAACTTTTGACATTTCGTGTTTTCATTTCTATTCATCTTTGATTATTTTCTAGTTTTCTTACAATTTTTGTCTTTGACCCATTGGTCCCTTGAGAGTGTGTTGCTTGACTTCCACACATTTTCCACATTTCCTTGGGTGTTGATTCTAAATTTATCCCATGATGGTCAGAGAACATACTCTGTGTGATTTCTGGCTTTTTAACAGTGTGTTGAGACTTGTTTTGTGGCCTCACATGTTCTCTTCTAGAATCTTCCATTTGTACTCGTGAAGAATGTTGCTCCTGGGGTGCGCCCTGTAGGTACCTGACACATCGACTTGGCCTGCAGCATTGCTGAAGGTTTCGGTTTTCTTGCTGATCCTCTGTCCAGCTATCTGAAATGTTGAAAGTGTGGCACTTAAGTCTCTCACTACTATTGCCTTATTTTCAGTTGTGTTGGTTTCGCTTTAGGTATTTTGGAGTTGTGTTATTAAGTGCATACATGTTTCTAATTGTTTTAGCGGTGATAGGTGGACCTTTTATCATCATGCAGTATCTTTTTTGTCTCTTATAACAGTGCTTTTTGTCATTTTAACCTATGAGTCCCTTTAGTATTTTTCATAACACAAGTCTCCAGTGGTAGATTTGTTTGGTTTTTATCTTTGAATGTCTTAATTTATCTTTCATTTTCAAAGGATATTTTCACCTAATGCAGAATTCTTACTTAACATTCCCCCCCCCCTCGGGACTTTGAACATACCATTGCATTGCCCTCTGGACTCTGGTTTTCTGGGATAAGTCAGCCATCAGTCCTACAGAGTCTCCTGTGTGTACGATGGGTCTCGGCTGCTCTCGGGACTCCCTCTCTGATACTCAGTGGTTTGATTATGATGTGTTTTAAAGTGGGTCTCATTAAGTTTTTTTTTAATTTTATTTATTTTTTTTATTTATTTGTGTGTGTGTGTGTGTGTGTGTGTGTGTGTGTGCGTGCGCGCGCAGCCAGCTCAGCCCACCAGGGGGCGGGGCTGGCTGGCATGTGGTGCTGGGGGATTGAACCGCAGTCCCTGTGTTTTGCTAAGCTTGTTCTAAGTAGGTGCTTTAGACCACTGAGCCATTCCACCAGCCCTCATTAAGTTTATCCTATTTGAAATTTATTAAGCTTTCTGGTGTGCAGATGATTGTTTATTGTATTAAGCATGATTCGGGCAATTATATCTCTAGATATATTCCTGCCCCTCACTCCCCTTCTGGCACTCTCGCTGTACATATATTATACACTTGGTGAGGCCGAACTGGTGTCTTAGGCTGTGCCCGTTTTCTTTTTTAATTTTTTTTTTACTTGTTTATTTATTTATTTGGTACTGGGTCTCACTACACAGCTCAGACTCATAGTGACCCTCTTGTCTTAGCCTCCCCAGCACTGGGATTATAAGTGTGCCCCACCGTGCCCAGTTTCAGTGGCCCAGGGTTCTGGGGCCAGCATGGCATGTGGTTCCAGAGATCAAACCCAGGTCCTTCCTCTTGCCAGGCAAGCACTTAGACCACCAAGCTATCTCCGTGGCCCCATAAGCTCATTTTCTTTCATTCTTTTTTCTTTCTATTCTTCAAACTAAATACTCTTCATTGGTTTGTCTTCAAATTGACTAATTCTTCATTCTTCCTAGTAGATCTCCATTGAGCCCTTTTAGTAAAGTTTTAATTTGTTACTGTACTTTTTGATTCAAGAATTCCCATGTCTAGATGGCAAAGCATTATTTTCAGGGCTGTTTATATACAGTATACTTGGGCCTTTGGACATACTTAAAATACGTCATTTAAAATCTTTGCTGTATACATCCAGTGCTTGGACTTCTTGGGCCCAGTTTCTCTGAATTTTCTTCCATGAACAGATCACTGTATTTTCTTGTCTTTGTGCTTGTCCTGCAACTTTTTTTTTGGACTGAGAGCCAGACCCTTGGAACCCGGTACTGGAGCGGCTCTGTCAATCAGACTTCTCTTCCGCCCACAGCTGGTTGCTGCTGCTTGTTGCGTTTGGTGTCTGGTTGCTAACTTTTCTGAACTAACTTTCAAGTCTGTGTTCTTTGCTTTATGTAGCCAAGAAATCCCTGCTAGTGAGTGGACAAAGATACCTTCAACACCTGAAACCAAAAACGTCTGCCGCTCTTGCTGAGGCGCTCTCTGTGTTCGTAGGGCCTGGCCTCCCCGGAGCTCGCTCAGGCAGTTGGCCGCTGTGCCTTGCTCTTCACTTCTTGCTTCCTGAGAGCTTCAACGCCAGCCAGATTGAGCACCTCAGGCGTTCGTCTCTGTGGCGCCTGCGCCTGGGTCTGTGCAGCCTTCTGTATTCCTAATCGTGTTTTAGCGCTCTTGGAAGCTGTACCCTATTCCGCATCCTTCCGTTCAAAGCCTTCTGTTGCCTACTTCCCCTTGTTAGCCATTGCTCAGAAGGGTTTTCCAGAAAACATCCTCCTCTTCACCCCAGGGGGCCTGTGTTGCTCGGGTGACTGCCAGGCTAAGCAAGATCGAGAAAGGGGAAGCCTTCGCGTTGGCCTTGCAGCAAGCCACCTCTCGGGACACAAAACGTACCTGTAATTTTTGTGACTGAGTTCCATCTCGTTCTCCCGGTACTGGTACTGAGCATTTGGAGTGTTCTTTTCAAGGACACCACTGAACTGGGGAATGGGAAATTGAGCCAGAATACATTAAAACTCCACAAAGCACTCGATTTACTGAGAATCAGCCAGATATTTTGAAGTACTCCTCTGGTTCCTGAAAGCTTTTTATTCATCTCCAGTGTTCCCCCCAAAGTTGATTCTGATCACTTTTCCTGATTTTTTCATTGTTCTTATGGATGTGCGGATTTTTGGAGTTTCTTACCCTACTATTTTGACTAGTGGCCCAGCTATCTTCTGCATTTAATAATTCTGACATCTGAAATTTGTGGTTCTGAGTCCTGGGTTTTTGAATTTTTGGGGAGGGGGTGCTTTTTGCCTTAACACCTTGCTGCTTCACTCAGAGCTCACTTTTTTGTGTGGTGTCTGTCTGTGGAGGCTTTTTGAAGTGTAAGGCCGACAGAGCCTGTGAGCAGTGGAGAATGCTAGTTTCCGTCAGTCCCCGCAGTCATAGCCCACCATGGCTGCAGCCCCGTACATGTTATACGGATGCACGCAGAGTCTGCGCTCGCTCTCTGCAGCCGCTGGTGTAAGGGAGATGCGTTCGCCTCTGCATGTGCTGGCCTGGCGCAGTTCCACAGCACCGCCTGCCGTGAGGAAGTGTTCACTGTCCACAGCGTCCACTCCTAGCCTTTGTGGCTTCGGGGCAGTAGAACTGTAGCTTACAGCAAAGAAACAGTATTTTAATGTTTTAGAAAAATTGTCATTTCAGCTCCTCATGACTACCAGCTACTTTTTTCCCCAAGTGATAGAGGACAGACCAAGGACTTTGATCATGCTCAGCAGTGTCTGGTGCTGAGCCCTAGCCCTGCCCCAGCCCTGGCTCTGGTTTGGACAGTGCTGTTCTGGGTGGAGGTGGCATCCTCCCTGCAGAAAGGATGGGCAAGAGGGCCAGCCTGATAGTGAACAAAAGCACCTGCTTTAGGCAGAGTGCAGCAGCCGGGTTCGATCCCCAGGCCTGACGTGCCAGCCTGGGGATGCTTTTGCCATGGAGACAGGCCCAAAATTTCCGGCAGAAGTTCCTATGTGATCTACTTCGATTCTGCGGCACTGAGTATGACAGAACATACTATACGGACTATTGTGGCTGTGTCTAGGTGAACGAAAGCACCTGCTTTAGGCAGAGTGCAGCAGCCAGGTTCGATCCCTGGGCCTGACATGCCAGCCTGGCCTGGCCCTGCCCCCAGGGCGCGCTGAGACTGGGCATGGTAGCGTGCGCCTGTAATCCCAGGGCTTGCGAGGCTGAACACAAGCGGATCACTACAAGTCAGATTTGTGTAGTGAGACCCTGCAGACCCTGTCCTAAATACAGAAAATAAAATAAGGATGAGTAAGCACCTACTCCACGCAGCTCGAACCCCTTCACCCAGAAGCACTGTGCCCTGAATTGTCCCATCTCCACTTGACACAGCAGGGCGCCTTGCGCCCTAAGAGGACTCAAGGCACTCTGCCCTGCTGCAACAGAACTGGGACCGGGAAAGGCCGATTTTTCCCTGTACATATGCCGTATCTTCTTCCTGCAGGAACAGAACAAACCTTCCAATGCAACCTCTGCGCGTTCACCTGCTCGAGGGTCTCCAGCCTTAATCACCACATGAGAAGTCACAAGACACCCCACACATGCCACGTCTGCCTAAAGACCTTCCGCACTGTCACCCTGCTTCAGAACCACATCAACACCCACACAGGTGAGGTGGCGTGGGGCAGCTCCCCTGGAGTGCAAGGAGGGCTGCGAGGAGGTGACTCCACCGGCTTCTGCTTCAAAACACAATTCCGCGTCCCATCAGAAATTGTGCTGTCATGGCTTTGGTCACCTGTGTCCAACTTCCATGGGAAATTCCAGAGATGAACCACTCCTGAATAACTTCTGCTACAGCGCCTTGCTAGGATTGCTTTATTTTCAGTTTTTATTCATCTCCTTAGTTTTTGTCAGTACCAACAATATTTGTCAGGTGTTGTTTCATCTCTAATTTACAGATTAAACTTTAGCATAGGACTGCAGGCCCAGGGGAAAGCACGGCCCCTTGCTCTGTCCCTCCAGTGGGAAGGGGGATGACTGGCTGTCCTGTGTTGCTTTACGCTTTTAATTTTTCCTTTTGGAATTTCAACCAGAAGCACCGACTGTTCCAAAAATGTGTCGCACCTATGTTTGTGGTACTGATTGTTTAGTGAACTTCTTAATTTTAAAAAGTTTTGAGACTGAGTATAAATTAAAAGGTAGAAAATCCTTGCAAATGGTTAAATCTTGTCTTAAAAGTATAAATCGGGCTGGGGGTGTAGGTAGATGGCGCAGAATTGGCACTGGTGAGGTCCTAGGTTTCATCTCCAGCACCACCAAAAAAAAAAAAAAAAATATATATATATATATATATATATATATATATATATATATATGTCATGCGATTTTACAGGAACCAGGCCTCATAAGTGTATGGACTGCGACATGGCATTTGTCACCAGCGGAGAGCTCGTCCGCCACAGGCGTTACAAGCACACTCACGAGAAGCCGTTTAAATGCTCCATGTGCAAGTACGCGAGCGTAGAAGTAAGTCTGCCGCCGCTGGACGGCCGCGTGCAGCTCCGCTGCGGGGCACCGGCAGGAGCGCACACTGTCAGACGGGCTCTGCCTCTGTAAAGTTCCTTTTCATCCTTTGATTACTAATTAATAATATTTAAAGGTATACAAATGACAAACGGAATTGCCTGTGATCAAGAAGTAATTCTAGGATTTGTTGAGAAGGTCTTAAGTCACTTTGTCTTGTTGCTGAGATGAAGTGCCCAACACCCGCAAGTGAAGGGAGGAAAAGTTGATGTAGCTCAGTTTGTAGAGGTTGCAGGCCATCGTTGGCTGCTCCAAAGCCGGGTGGCAGGGCAGAGGGGCATCGCCGAGGAGAAGCAGCTCGTGGTGGGTAGAAGGCAGCGAGGCAAGCAAGCAAGGGGCAAGACCAGCCTCTTTGTGTCCCTTACGTTGTGGTCAGGCTACTGGGGTTAGGGCAGCGCCAGTCCAGTCAGGGGACTGATTGGATAACCACCACCCTTCATCCTGGCATTGCACCAGGAATCAGCCACACTGCACATCCAGTCACCTCTGAAACCCCCCCTGTGGCTCGTGAGGCTTTGGGGACACCTAGACACAGCCACAATAGTCCGTGTAGTATGTTCTGTCACACTCAGTGCCACAGAATTGAAGTAGATCACATAGGAACTTCTGCCGGAAATTTTGGGCCTGTCTCCATGACAAAAGCATCCTAATAGTCATTTCTAGTCTTTCTTGTTGTTCTTTTGTTTTTAGTGCCAGGGATCGAACCCAGGGACTTGTCACCCTGCCACATGCCACATCCCCTGCTCCCCATTTCTATCCTCCACTTAGGGAGATGACGCTCTGCAGGCTTCAGCCACGTGCCGTGGCCGTGGCTGTGTGGCTGCCCGTTCTGTGCCTTCTAGCAGGCTTAGGAGCACCCCGCCTGAATCACGGGCAGTATCTGGTGTTTCCTAGTCAGTGCCAGCTCAGTTAGAGGGGTTCTGCTTGGTGTTAGGAGGAAAGCAGGCCATGGGTGTGAGCCCAGTTGAGGAGGGATAACTCCTGCCCTCCAGTGGGACTGAGTTAAAGGCCACAGCAACGGAGGCTTCAATATAGTCATGCTGCAGCAGCATTTCACAAAGTAGGGAATTTCACACACTGGGTCACGACTTGATTCCAGTTTTTTTTTTTCCAGTTTTGATTGCTATATTTAAAAGTCTGTCTCTCCTGTAAGTTAAAGGTTGTTTTGTCAGTAGCAAGACACGAGGTGGCAGCTTTGGAGAGCAAAGGTGTCCCGGGACCCTGAGCCAGGGCAGACCTCTTGTCGATGGCCTGCCAGTTCTGAAGATCTGAGTGCAGGCCTGCTGAGGCCTCATGGCAGCTGGGAGGCAGGCGCAGCCCAGGCTGGTGACCTGGCCCCCGGTCCCCTGCTGCTGTTGCTGCGCCCTCACTGGCGTGGCTTCCGCTGGCGCCTGCTGGTCTGTATTAAGACAGGGCACATCGAGCCTTCCTGGTACTGGACCTTCCGAGGCGTCTGTTGGACACCAGTTTCTTGGTGCTCCCTGTCCCCTTTCTAGGGACACGATAGGCAGCCTTCTGGGACCAGTCAAGCTGCCTCTCCTGCTCAGGCCTTCTATGCTGTCATTCAAAAATGCTTGTTGCTTTACTTTTTAAGGCACTTGAGGACATCTGCTTTTCTTCGAAAACTGGATCTCACTTTCCATTTTGAGGCTTCGGGTCTTCAGTGCCCTTCAGATCGGGGCCTGTTCTTTGGTACTGGGGAAGCAGATCAGACATGGCCTTCCCGCAATCCCAGCAGAACCACGGGGGCTGCGGGATACCTGCGGCTCCAAGGTGGTGGCCACCGCGGGTTTCCTGCCAAGTGCAGATCAGGGCGCACAGCTAGCAGATACAGCGTGTCTGCAGAAGGCATCTGCCGTTTAACTAACAGCCTGGAATAGGTCACAAAGTTAGAACTAGTTTCTCCTACTTAAAACCTACTCCTTCTAAAGAAATCCCTGACACACAGCTGCTGGACTCACAGCAAGGACAGCCTGTGCCACTCATGTGCCCTTGGGGCGCGGGGCCCACGGGACTCGTGACAGTGTCGTTCATGCATTTCACACTTCCTGGCTTGAGGTTTTCATTTGATGTAAAAGCGATCCTCCTGGGCTTTGTGTTCTTGCACAGCACATGTAGCCTTGGACCTAAATATAAAACCACGTGGCCTTGGACAGCGAGGTTTCATCATTTTTTTTATAAAGTGGAGTTGAGTGTCAGAATTGCTTCAAACTGTGCTTCCTCCTCCGAGAAGAGCTTGTGCACATCGAATGAAGGAGAATATAGAATATAACAAGTCACGATGTTTTCATGGTTCCCAGCGAGGGCTGCGTGCCTCTATGATAGAACCTGATTAACCTAAGTTCCTTCTGTAAAGGTAATTATTGAGGGCCGCATGCTTCCAAGTTCCTGTCGGAGTGACTGTCCCTTCTGTGTCCCAGGCCAGCAAGCTGAAGCGCCACATCCGCTCCCACACGGGCGAGCGTCCCTTCCAGTGCCTCCTCTGCAGCTACGCCAGCAGGGACACCTACAAGCTCAAGCGCCACATGCTCACCCACTCAGGTGAGCGTGTCTGCCCACAGGGGGCCAGGCCGATGGCTGTGCTTTTGAAAGCGTGCAAGCCCACAAAGGTCACTTTTGGGGGCAGAAATAAAGTGCAAGCGTCAGTTCTCATGTACCTTTGTCCCAGGGCCTTGGCTCGGTGCTTTTCATGCCGTGCTGTGCCCACCAGGAAGGTAGATTGCTGTAAAGCATTAGCTCCTGGAGGGGTCTCAGGCATTGAAAAGTCTGCTTCTTAATTCATCCCTCAGATTTAAAACCAAGCATGCAGCAAACTATGCCAGCTTGGTAACAGGTGTGCTGCAGTTGTGTAAAGAGAGCGCTTGTGCACATGCAGGTCTGAGACTCTCCCAGGCCCCCACGGTAGTAGGAACGGTGCCCCCCCGCCCCGCCCGCCAGAACCAGGCACCAGGATTCTGGGAGGCTACGTATCTGGGTCGCTGCACAGAGCCGTGCAGGGCATGGGCTGTCTGGCCAGACTCAGGTGCCGCACCCTTATTGGGGGCCTCAACTTCCAAGAAAGGGGTCAGGTGCAGGAAAGCTCCCACTACAGGTGTCAGAGCCGAGAGGGCAGCCACACTCCAAGGGCCTTTTGTCCTTGCATGCAGGGGAGAAGCCCTACGAGTGCCACATCTGCCACGCCCACTTCACCCAGAGCGGGACCATGAAGATGCACGTCCTCCAGAAGCACAGCAAGAACGTGCCCAAGCACCAGTGTCCCCACTGTGACGCCCTCATTGCAAGGAAGAGCGACCTGCGTGAGTGTCAGGCTTTGCTGTCTCCTCCTGGCCCCCCTGTTGGTACTCTTTGGGCACTGCAGCCAACCTGCAGAGCCAGCAAGGCGCTAGCAGGCCAGCCACTCGCAGGGCTCCCCAGAATGAGCTTTCTTGCAGCAGTCCTATGCCACCATCTGGCGGCTATGCCTAGTAAGTGCAGTCTCACCGCTGGTTCTGACCTGGGCCTGTCCTTACACCTGTGAGATGTCACAGACACTTGAGTTCAAAAGTGCTTTCAGGATATTATCTTAGGGGCCAGGGAGATAGCTCAGTAGAATAAGTGTTTGCCTGGCAAGTGCAGGGTCCTGAGTTCAATCCCCGGTACCACAAAAAAAAAAAAAAAAAAAAAAAGATATTATCTTAGTGTTCTTTGGGCCTGTTCTTACAGGTGAGGATGCTAGGGCTCATACATGGAGTGACTTGCCTGAGAGGCCCGCAGTGGGGTGCTGGGAGGCTGCAAGATTTTGTATTCTTGCTTTGTTGACACTCCCTCGGCCCCAGCACCTCAGCCAGTGCTTCTCACACGGTGCTGGGGGCCAAGGGTCCAAGTAGGGACCAAGACCCAGTCTCTCTGAAGCTAAGGTTCCCCAGGTAGGCCCTCGTGACTTGAGGACACTTTCTTTCTTTTTTCTTTTTTTCCTCAAGGAACCAGGGATTGAACTCAGACCCTTGCACTTGCCAGGGAAGCGCTTATCCTACTGAGCCATCTCCCCAGCCCTGGGTCTCCCTTTCTGGTGGTCTTTTTTTTCTTTCTTTCTAAAAATGTATGACATCATGGTACTTACAGTATACTAGTGAACAGAAAAACTCACCAGTTAGCCCCAAGAAATTTCAGAGATGAGACAAATCATTTTGAAATTACTTGTGAAAGTTACTTGTGAATGAGTCTTTCGATCTGTCCATGTTGCCATGGTTACCAGCAGGTCACAAAACAGCCCAGCTGGACATGGTAGGACCAAGGATCTCAAGCCAGTTGCCAGGAGTGGCTGTGAGACTTGTGACAGCACCACAGCATTACACACTGCGTTCCACACGCGTGTTCCGCAGCGCTGTGGTGGCCCTCTGAGAGTGCCTGGTCTTCGTTCCCCTCACTGAGAAAGACAGCTGGGTGGGAAGCGCAAGGTGCCCCTCCATCGTCAGCTCTTCTTCAGGCATCCTGGATTGCGTAAGATGTGAGGACAGTGGCCTGGCTCCCAGACAACCATCAGGCACTTCTTAGCTCAAAGGCATCTTGGTTCTGTGAGCCTCGTAACCACTCTGGCACCCACTTACCCCACAGTCAGCGTCTCAGGGGTCTTGGCCACATGTCTGGCCTTGTGCGGCCTCAACCCCACAGTTAGTGGTATTAAAATGAGGTCCTGTGGTGGGGGAATTTGGACTGTCACCCTGATAGGGACTGCTGGAGCCCAGTGGGTAAAGGCCAGGGCTGCCTCTGAGTGTCTGGTAGCACACAGTTCAGCCCACCCAACCCCAGCGGGAAGTACCCCATGTGAGCAGCCCTGAGGTGGGGAAGCCACGCCGTGGGGCTGCCTGGCAGCAGACGGTGGCCTTCTCACCCATGATGCTCCACTCCCTTTCAGGTGTGCACGTGCGCAACCTGCACACGTACCACGCCACGGAGATGCAGTGCCGCCGCTGCCCCGCCACCTTCCACGAGCGCTATGCCCTCATACAGCACCAGAAGACCCACAAGGACGAGAAGCGCTTCAAGTGCCCCCGCTGCAGCTACGCCTGCAAGCAGGTCTGTGCCCTCGCGGCTTCTGCAGGTGGAGGGCAGGGGCTGGGGAGGAAGGGACGGAGGGCAGAGGCCAAAGCAGCAGCTGGTAGAGGACGTGAGACCCCGGAGGTCCTCTAGACCTCCTGGGCCTCACGCCAGCCAAACCGCTGCTGTGATACACCAAGGCATGCCGTGCCTTTTCGGCTGTGTTGACTTCTGCACTTGGTGTTGGGGCAGCGTGACTGGTGGCCTCTGCAGCCTTCACCTTCCTGCACCAGCCCCAAAAGCAAGGGCTGTTCCACTTAAGAGTGTTCTTGGTAAACGCAGAAACTTGTTGACGTTCTTAAACCTTAGCCTTGAATACTTTCTAACACCCCATGTCTTAGTTACTTTCTCGTTGCTAGGACAAAACACCCAGCACCCACAGATTAAAGGAGGAGGGGTTTATTTTATCTCCCAGCTTGTAGATGTTTCAATTGTAGTGGGCTGGCTCCAAGGCAGGGGCTGGCAGCGGGGCCTGGTCCAGCAGAGGGGCCTGGTCCAACAAAGGCAGAGATGCAGGCAGGAAGCAGGGCCTGTGCTGTCCAGGCCACGCCCACAGTGCCACCTCTGCCCGTGAGACTTCACCTTCCAGCAGGGTACCCATCAGAGAACCTATCAATTGTCACACACCCATGAGTGACCCAGTCCCCCAAGCCTCATCTATGAACGCTCACTGGAGGCTTTGAGGGGACAACTCTATGCAGACCACAACACCCTGTGTGCCCCTGGGCAACCCCCTAAGGCCCACAAGCTTGCAGGAGTACAAGGCGCTTCCCCACCTGCTGTAGTCTCCACACAGCAGGGCACAGAGCAGCCCTTCCCACGCAGTTTGGGGGCATCTGGAGGGCACTTTTGTGACAGTGAACAAAGCAACCCTAAGCTTTCAAGGGAAACATGTTATAGTGATAGATGGCAGACTGTCAGTTTTCAAGAGAAAATCAGAATTTTGGAAAATCTGTGTTCTCCACTCAGAGCCTTCCAGCTTTCTGATCCTTAGTGACATTTCTGGTGAGATCCGGGCACTTTTTTTTTTCCTATAATTTTATTGAGAAACAAATAGCAATGAGACAGTTTCAAACCAAATTGGTAGGACAGTTTCAATAATTAACACATTGCATACATT